TTACAGAACCCTTTGGTTAGCTAGTGAAAACTGAAGGTTACAGAACTGCCTTTGAGGCAATGACTGGGGAGCTTCTGCATGGGGGAGAGGAAACCCCAGTAGTTTGTCCCCAGAACTCAGTGGGTCTGAGATGGGCAAGGAGAGACTTGGCAGTCAGACCTTGAGACACATGCAGATTTCCCAGCCTCCAGTGCAAACCAAGAGCTCTCCCACCCCAAACACAGCCCCACTTACTGCTGCTTGGGCCATTGACACGGGCTTGGGGTCCAACTGGAAAGAACCAAGACTTCAGGGCTGGGCGCAGTGGCAGAGTCCACCAGAACTAGACAGCCTTTCAGAACTAGACAGCCTTTCAGAACTAGACAGCCTTTTGAGGGCTGTCGGTATGTATACTCTGAGCCAGACTGCTCACGACTGGCTCTTTACTTGCACTTTCATTTCAGAGAAAATCCTGCCCTTCAATGCTCCCTACCCCCAGACGGTTTCTCCACCCCTGGGAGGGGCCTCCATAGCTTTGAGGCCTCAGGCAGGGTAAGCTACACTAGCAGCAACTGCCAAGTGAAAGCAGGTTCCTGTCAAGCCTCCATTCTCAGCCCTGCAAAAACCCAGTGGTAGAATTTTGTCTGCTTTGTTACCCAGCATTTATCAAGAACCTAGAATGGTGCTGGGCACAGGCAGACATAGCTAGTTGCGTGAAAAATGCCACCAGGACAGATAAAGCCACTCCACCATTTGGCGTGCCCAATACTGATTCTGCTTTACAGATTAACTCAAATTTTTAAAAAAAGATTTCATTTATACATACAAGAACTGGGGTGGGGCCTCCCTGGTGGTGCAAAGGGTTGTCTAAGTATTATGAAGCAATCCGTAGCCGAGTTCCATCCCTGGCCAGGGACCTAACACATGGCAGATTTCTCCTGTCTTGCCCACTGCTCCCCTCAGCAGTGTATTTCAATCTGCCTGTTCTGCTCCCCATTCTCTGGTGAACCCTCTCACCCCCTGCACCTCTGGCCTACGCCCCAGCTCTTGTATACATAAATCTTTACACACTGCTGAGGGCAAATGAGGACAAAACAGAAGAGGTCTGCTGGCCATGTGGGTCAACTCCCTGGCTGGAGACTGTACTCATGATGCAGTGGCTGCTGATAGCTTGGTAGAGCTGAGACTTAACCCCTTGAGCCACCAGGGAGGCCAGAGATTCTAAACTTTAAAGATTATTTACAGAGGTACAGGGGCAGTGAGAGGATTCACCAGAGACAGAGTAGGGAGCAAAACAGGCAGACGGATGCAGTACACTGCTGAGGAGAGCAGCAGGCAGGTCAGGAGAGCTCTGCAGTGCCATGTGGGTCACCTCGGGGGCGGGAATTGAACTCATACTGAAGTGCCTTTAGCTTCTTAGTGCTGTGCTTTCATCTGCTGCGCCACTGGCACGGGCCTGAGATCCTAAACTTCTAAGGCACAGAATATAAACTTGAGAAAGGCCACACTGTAAGGAAGTGAAGCAATATACCCAAGCCTGGCTTGGGACCTTGAGATAGGATGGCAAAAACTCAGATACTGAGTAAAAGGAACATTTGTACTGAGTTCCACATGTGACTAAATAGGTAAGCTACTTACTTAACAATCCATCTCAATAGGTGCCAATGTGTGAGAAGTTAAACTAAGAACATAAAGCACAGGGCATGTTTTATTTTTAACCTAGGCCAGACCTTTTCATTACCATATCCTTTTCTCTTCCTGATGGCTTTCTGCCATGTCCCCTTTTCAACCTCTTCTCACCACCACAGGAGGAAGTGTGTTGAGTACAAAGATTAGCAAATGCAACCCTGCTTCCATCTAGAGCCTTTAGAATTGCTCTATTTTTGGGTCACAGGACCTTGAGTCTCCAATGAAAACTATGCAACACCCTCAGAAAAATGAACTACCAAGGTTATAAATTGTTGGGGCACTTTAAGAGACACATTTAAATAGCCAAAGTTTATCTCAGTCAGCTATCCTGAGAGGCCAGATGCTTTTCCTGCAACAGTGGTGACAGAAGCTAGGCCCAAGCCTTACGACCAGACCCCCTCTCACCAGGCAGTTGCCCATTATTCTCTAGTATACGCCTCATCCAGACAGGTTGAAAGAAATCCTACTGAATCTAACTTGGAAGATGGGTCTCTGGTTTAACAAACCTCCCTAAAACAACTAGTATCCACTCATGGGGGCCTCTGGCTGTCCATCAGGGATGACAAGGAATAGCTCAGGTCCTCAGGGGTGCAGGAGTTGAAGTCAGGAATACCAACTAATCCCATACCAAAAAAAGTCAGGAGCAGCCCTTTTTGGCAAACAGTTCATTAGCTCACACTTCAGTGCCTAGAGGTTGGCTGGGCCATGAAAGGGTTATCAGGGTAAGACAAAGCTCACATCTCACCAAGGGAGATTTAGCTTATATCTTTTCCCACAGCTACTATATTCACCATCTATCATGAATGTTCTCCTTTCCCAGTCTAATGATAAAAGTAGCAGGCAGAAACACAGATTTTTTCTTTTTTTTTTTTGTAATTTTAATGACCAAAGCAAAAAAGATCTAAAACCGCAGCTTCTGGAAGAACCATTTGTTCTTGCCAGTCTTGTACCTAGAGGAAAAAAAAGAAGAGTGATGAAGATAGAAACAACAAAAATTCCCTTCATGAAGCACAATGAAACCATAACCCCCAACACCCACCACCTAAGTCTACTTACCTCTCCTCAAACTTGACCTTGGCCTCTCGCCGGGCCTTGCGTTTAAGAGCAGGATCTCTGAAGACATCCTTGTTGACAACAGTTTTGTCCAAGGGGATATCCACAGAGTACCTGGGGACGATGACAAGGAGGTAGGACCAACCCACATGCCAGATTTCTTGAACCTTCAATTTTTTTTTAAAAAGACTTATTTATTCGTACAGAACTAGGGTACAGGCCAGAGATGCAGAGGGTGAGAAAATTCACCAAAGAGAGAGTGGGGTGCAGAACAGGCAGATCAATGAAGTATACTGCTGAGGGGAGCAGCGGGCAGGTCAGGAGAGGTCTGCCACACCATGTCGATCTCCTCCAGGGCAGGTGGGATTGAACTCATGCAGAAGTGGCTTAAGCTTCTTTGTGCTGTGCTTTAACCCGCTGGGCCACCAGGGAGGGCCGTGAACCTTCCATTTTAATACCCATTTCCATAGATTCAAGCCATTGGAAAACAATTCATGTTTAATTTTCCACAACCACAGTTTCTAGGTAAGAAGAATCACTCTATCAGACCTTCTTTATGATGATCACAGTACTGACAAGCTTTCTATTCAGACTCAGAAAGGGTCAATCTCATTACAAATAACACAAAAATTGGTCAGTTATCTTTGGTGGTACAGGGGTTAAGTCTCAGCACAATTATGCTATTGCCACTGTGGTCTGTGTTTGGTCCCCAGCCAGGGAGCTGACCCACATGGCCTGCAGACCTCTCGTCTTGCCCACAGCTCCCTTCAGCAGTGTGTCTCAATCAGCTTGTTCTGCTCCCCACTGTTGCTGGTGAATCCTTTCACTACCCCTCACACCTACACCCCAGTTCTTCTTTGTATAAAGAACTCTTAAGACACCACACATAAAACAACTGAGCAGCTATTTTCCAGAATTATGGAAACAATTCTGTACTTTCATATTAGCAGATGAAGAATAAACACACAGTTCTTGTAGCAAACTTTAAGGGATATGCGGTTAGGGTTTGGGAATTTTTGTTCAGGATTCTCCAGTCTTGTATTTCTTTCTAAAACTGCTCTAGTACCAAGACAGTATATGTACTACACAATATTATTAAGGCTAAAAGTGGCTCAGCAGCTTAGTGAAGTTGGGGGAGACTTGCTTTCATTAATTTACCAGCCATTCTTGGAAGCTTGCAATCACTCTCTGGGACAGTGAACTGTGGGAGATAGTAGACTAGGTATTGTGCCTGTGTTTACTGAAGATGGAAAAAAAACGAGACTTTAAGACTCAGAGGCCACAGCCACTTAGTGGCAAATTGAAAACAATGTCCCTTCCTCACTGGAATGGCTGCCAGGCTGTCTCATATTCAACAGGGAAAGAAGCACTTTCATTCCCATTCTTGAAATGCTCACCTTGTGGGCATGAGGTGATTGTAGTTATATACTTTCACAAAAGACTTGATCTTTGACCTCTTGGCAATTTTCTTCTTGCCCATGGCAGCTGTCACTTTGCGTGGATAGCGATCAATTCCAGCCACCAGAGCATGGCTGTAAGGGCGGTCTGCGGTGCCATCATCAATGTTCTGAGTGGTCAGAATGACATTTGTTGTTAACCAGAGTCTCTCATACCTTGTGCATACAGGTAGGGCATGCAGAGAAAGGACTGTCTCGTAAAAAATACAAATAACCCCCTCAGGTTTCAGACACCTTATTATAAAGAGAAAACCACACAAACTAGACACTAGGTACTCACATATGCCCGAAAAGCGTAAGATTGAGGGCATTCTATATTCCATCAAGAAGAACCTGGAAGGGTTCTTGAGAGTCAAGAGATTTTAGAAATATTAACAAATGTTAATTAACTCTTATGGAGTGCTGACATATGCCAAGCATCCGTTGTCAGTACTTGACACCTATAACTTCCTGCACAGGTACACTGCCAGTGAGGGGCAGGGGCAAGGTTCCAGAACGTCAGCCTCACTTCAGACTCTGGCAGTAGGTAGATGGAAGAAAACAGGTGCACTCTGGTGTCACCCAACGTAGTGGTGCTATAAAATCAAGACACCATGAATCGTAGGCAGAAGGCAAACAGCGAAAGGCTCATAATGCTAAGGGACCATCCTGACTAGAAATAATCTCTTTTAGTAGATGCCCAGCCCAGCACCTCCTACCTGCTTGACCTCAGGTCAATTACCCAACCTCCTGAATCTCAATGGAAGGGAATCAATCCCTTGATGGCTACCCATGAACTGGATATGACAACCCCTAAAGCAGCAGACCAGGCACCATTCAGTACACGCTGGCAGCACCTCAGTCTCTGGCCACCGGACGCGTTACGTGATAGGTTGCCCAATTCATTGCACCTTTGTTATTTTGCACGTCCCTCTCCCTAAAGCCCTCAAGCATTCACCGCCCGCTTCCCTCGACCCCGCAAAGGTCAGTGGCAAAGCCCCCCAAACCAGGGCTTGCCAGCCCGCTAAAACCTGCCCGACTCCTGAGCCGCAGGGCGTGGAGGGACTCGGGGCTGATACCTTCACAATGACCGCTTTGCGTCCGGAGTACCGTCCAGCCAACACCAGCACCACCTTCCCGGGTTTCATGAACTTGCCCATTTCTGCAAAAAGAAATGAGAATGGACCGCTCAGAATCCATTGGGCCAAAGCCCCGGGAGCCGACGCCTCATCCCAAGTGCAGCCTCTGAGCGCGGAATTTCAGGCTGCGCTCACTGTCGTTTTAGCCTACGTCGCCCGTGGGCCCCTGATAGCAGGACAGTGCCCACTTCGAAGCCGCCAGAGACGGAGGAACCGAAAACACACGACGCAGCCCAGAACTCAACCCCCAGGTCGCGGATGGCGACGGATTGGAAGACCCTGGCCAAGCCTCTACTCACCGACAGCAACCACTCGGGCCTACAGCAAAAAGGAAAGACCAGCACTTCCGCTAACCTTTCACCCCGGGGAGCGGTGATCTCACTTCCGGATCCACCCAGTAAGTCGCTCCGTACTTCCCGTGTGCGCTCGGAATCTGTATTGAGGGCGGAAGAAGCACAAGAGAGATAGCAGGGCCTGGCAGCTCATTTGCTCAAATCAAACTTTATTAACATCTTCCACATAAACAGAAGTAGCGCGCGCTGGTGGGAGAGCCAGGGCGGGTGGTTTGGTGGCAGTGTTCCCACCCAGCTGCGCCGCTGCCCGCCTGGTTGTAGCTTCCTTCTGCAGTAGGCGGGGATGGGGGTGCGTCGGGGGGTCGAGGGGGCGGGGGCGGGCGGGGGCACAGTCTGTTTCCTGTCTCAGAAGATGTAATTCGGGAACCAGATAGTACTGATGTTAGTGCCAACGGTGTGTACGGGTACGCCTAAGGCGGGAAAGGCGAATATTAGCCGAGCAAGGGCACCTAGTCCCGGACATTGATGTTATAGAATAAAACAAATAGTAAGGGTCGGTGATGGATACTTCATAGTAGTTGTTTACCTGTGCCAAACCTGCAAATGGTGGCTCTGGGGCTCAGATTCAAAGCAGCTCAACTTCTGAGCCCACACTTTTTTTTTTGAGGTTTATTTATGCATATAAGTACTGGGGTACAGGCCAGACGTGGGGGTGGGGGTGAGAGGGTTCGCCAGAGACTGATAGGGAGAACAGGCGGCTCTACTTTAGCACGCTGCTGAGGGGCGCAGAGGGAAACTGGAGTGGTCTGGGTCATGAGGGTCAGCTCCCTGCGGGGTGTTGCCCACTGCTGCAGTGGCTGCAGACGGCTTCATAGTGCTGAGATTTAATCCCTTGCACCACTAGGGAGGCCCAGTGAGCCCCATACTTTTAAACCTGTTACTAAATTGAACACCTCCTCTGTGCCAGGCAAGATGCTAGGCACTTGGAACTCGACAGATTATTTGATTCTCCCAACTCTCCATCTTGCGTATATTCCTATTTAGGCGTGAGGAGTTGAAGTCTAGAGAAGATAAATTAGCTGAGGTTGAACTGATCAGTAGCATACATAGGACTTGAATTTATGTCTGAATCCAGTCTAGATGGCTCTCTAGTGGAATTATTTCCTATTTCTGACTGGAGGAGTGTTTTCATTTTTTTTTTTAAAAATTAAAAATTAACTATTTTTGGAATTTTTTAAGTAGTTCTTTTGAGTTTAGGAGAAAGAGAAGACATTTTGGAGTTTTTGCTTACTGAACAAGATTAATCTGGGCAAGAGGGGGAAATGAGGGTTTCATCAATTTTTTTTTTTCTTGAGGCTCTGCAGGCATCAATTTTCCCTGTAGCCCTCAGAAATCCCACTCCAGTGGTTTATTACATTATGTATTTATATTTTTATATTCAATTAAAATATTTCCTGGCTTAATTTGGAATGACATTTTAGAGTTGGAAGTGACCTCAGAAATGACTTTGATTTCTCAAAGATGAATTCCAGAGCAGCAAAGTCACAGGATTGATCTCTGTGTTCTCAACTCAGTGTTTTTCCCACATAGCACACTGCCTTGTCCCTTGCCACCTCTAAGGTCTTCCATTATTGTCCTTACCTGCTTCTCCTCTTTTGCTGCTTCTTTCTTGAAAAACAGAAACCAAATCCTAAATCTTACTGTTTTGACCTCTTCTCACCTAACACTCTTCAAATTAGTAACTAAATCCTGTGAATTTTGCCTTGTCTTTTAAATCTTCCTTTTCCTGCCTGCTCCTTAATTGGACCAATCTCAGCTTTTTCTTCTCTAGTTCCTCCTCAAACTTTTGAATGAGTCATAATTGCTTGGGAGGCTAATTAAAGATGCATCTCCAACCCAAGATATTCCACTTTAGGTCTGAAGTACAGCAGTAAGATCTCTAAATCATATTTTGAAAAATGTCTCTAAACACAACTCCACATTCACCACTCAACTGCTTGAAATCTTTCACTGGCTTGTTGTACTAAAGTTTGACCTCTCACACTTTCCTTCAGTGTAAATGTCTTTGACAGTTCTCCACACCTTTCACGTACCCCTTTGGGTTCTAGCCAGCTCAACTACATAAAAGCCCCAATCTCTTCTGAGCTCTGGGGTCTCTACTCAGCTTGTTGTATGTGTTTTTAGTCTCCTCCTCCACTGTAGCCAGATGAAAGTTCAATCCAAATCCTACCTACTCTTCAAGGAGCTCAGAATTCTCCCAGACAGAATCTCTTCCTTCCCTGGGCCCCTCAGCCACCCAACCCAGCTCACCTTGATTACAGAGCACAGCTGAACTGGTTTGGATCACTGTGGTTCCCAGACCAGCAGCAACATCACAAACATGGGGGCATATTAATATGCAAATTCTCAGGCCTCACACCTGTGTTACTGAATTAATTTTGGGGATGGCACCTAACCGTTTGTGTGTTAATAGGCTACCTAAATTGCCAGATGTTCTGGTATCTTTTTAGTTAAATCGTGTTCCTTGAGGGCAGAGTATGTTTTACCACTTTCCTCAGCATCTAGCCTGGCCCAGGGAGTTGGTAGGCACCCAAGGATGAAAGACTGAATGCAGCTCACTTTAGAACCGTTTAACAATCTTTCATGAATCATACTTGTACAGACCCCTGTACTTCCATTGGATGCACATGTGTGGCTCTTTTGCATTATATTCTTGCATGTCTTTAGCCCTGGATTGACTGTCCATCCTCTCTTCCGTTGTCCTGTCTGCCTAACCCCAAGTCAGAGAGCTCTGTCCTCAATTATAATGTAGACGGTTTCAGTGTACAGCAGATAACTGAGTGCCTGCACACTGTCTCTACACATCTTTGAGTTTCCCGGAGAACTTGGCAAAGACTATCAGTTCATCTCCCTGCAGCCTAGTCTGTTCTCCGGGAGCTGAAATTTCTGGCAGATAGTGACAGTGGAGTAAGGGTGTGGATAAAGGAGAGGAACAGATCTAGAAGCAGCAGGATATGATGAAGAAAAAAAAAAAAAAAGAGTGGTATGAGCATAAAGACCAGAGGATTTGGATTCAGGCCACTTGAGTTCAAATCCCAGCTCTTCCATCATGTAAACCTGGACAAAATATTTAACATCTCCATATTTTAGTTTCCTCAGCTATAAAATGGGGGTAATGTTATCTTACAAGTAGTGAAGATTAAATTAGGATGACACAAACATAAGTGCTTCCTAGGTTGCTAGCACAAAGCCTTAATACAAATAGACTTCATTTAAGGAAATACTGATCTTGATCAATCTATCTGACAGTAGATATATTTTTAAACCAAAGCTAAGGGTCTTAAAGGTCTTTGTAGAGAAGCTACACAAAATACTATCATTTTATTGGCAACCACAGATATGTCATTCTTCACATTTTACACTTACCCTGTTACACACAGGACTAATTCTAGTAAATTATCAATAATACATCTTAAATAACAGGTTGTTGAAAAAAAATAAGTTAAAATGCACTACATTAATAGTGCAGACAGAAAGTGCAGCTGGCCATTTAATACATAAAACAATGCTGAATCAGTAGTGTTGGGAGTCCACTTGGTTTTCCAGAAAGTGATACACTTTGCTGATGTTTGGTTAGCCCTGGAGCAGTATGCAAGCTGAGTGACACATTAACAAAAAAGACTAAAACCCTAAAGACCACATCAGACCAGTTTAGTGTCAATTTCCCAATGAAATGCTTAGCCCTGTGCCTGGCAACTGTGATCTGCTGTAGTTCCTACTCTGGCTGTAGTACCCGGTGAAAGATCAGACGTCCTCCATCATCCAGCCTGCAGGACAAGTGGTACCTGGTGAGTATCACCCCCAGAAGGAGTTGCTGTCGGTCACTGGGTTATATTCCTCTTCACAGTGGCCTTTGGTGGCAAGGTTTCTGTCAGGGGATTTACCTCTAACAAAGATCTTTCTGAAAGGATGGTATCAGAATCCGATGAGGTGCAGAGAAGAGATTACTTGCCAGGGGACATGGTACCTGACAATGATTCTTATTCCTCACAACCACCTCCAAAGCCAAAAGACAAGTCTGTGATATGTGTGACAAGGAGACCCCCTTGTGAGGAAGGAATTTCAGTTCTTACCTCTACATGAGAAAGGGTTCATATTAAATTCAAGTTGTGATTAAGTCCCTTAGAAAATCTGTTCAAGTCATTTCCATTCCTAGTTTTATCCAGAGGCAGTTATGGAATATACATTGGTTCCTCTGACCTTGATGTCAGGAAGAAAGGAGCAAAGGGATTCGTAAGAGGAACCAAGATACTGGACCTTGGACTCGATCTCAAGCCCATCTCAGGGAAGATGGCTCTGAAATAAAAAGAACCTCAAGCTGGATGTCTTCTAGGATGAACTCACACTGCCATTCACTGCCAGGGAGAGAATAACTGCGCTTTCTTAACACCACACACGACCCAACACATTGGTGGGTTAACTGCCAAGACTGACTGCCTTTACTCTGGCTTGAATATAGGTGCCCACCTGAATACTACTGCGTACATGCCAGGGAAGACCCTTTTAAAAAGAGGGTCTTTAGCATAACTTTCTGAGCTGCTAAGTTGGTGAGGAAAAGAAGCTCTGCAGTCATTTGGCAATTTGCAAGAAAAGTGTTTGTAGCCCTCTCTACTCCTTGCTCTGATCCTAGAAGACTGGCCATCATCCTACTGAGCAAGGTGCTGGTCTAGGGTCAGGGCATTCCCATCAAAAGGCATCTTTGATGTTCTTGAGCTGGCGCACGGCCAGGTCTACAGGGAGGCTGAACTTGAGGCTGCTGAGGCGACTAAGCAGATTGAGGGCGCTCTCAAAGCCTGTGTGTGCCATGTAGCTCCAGGGCTGGTAGTGGGCCTCAATGAGTGACCCTGACTTACAGATGAGGTTCACCCAGGACACCAGCCGCTGCTCATTGAGTGCCATGCACACCAAGGCCTTCAACTCAGAGTCTGCACTGCGCTTGAAAGGGTCGTGCTCTGTCAGCACCATGTGGATGGCTGTCAGCAGGCTCTGCTTGGGGGTCACAACGGTGCCTCCCATAATGGGCAGGGCGAAGGACTGGGAGAGCTTCCGGGCTGGGGACTCCACGTAAGCTCGGCCATTCTTTGCATGATAGTACTTTACAAAGAGCTCCCAGGGGTGCATGGCCTCAGGGGTGGAGGAGAAGGCTGGTAGCAAGCAAGCAATGGGAGCCATGACCAGGCTCATTCCTGGTGAGGAGGCATATAGTCCATGGGCGAGCAGGTCCCTCACGGCCACTGTTAGCTCCTTCCGCACGGCCACGGTCAGTTCATCCTTGCCTCCCAGAGAGAGGTCCTGGAGGTTGGCAGAGGTGATGACACGGTCATGCGGCTGGTGCCTCAATGCCAGCTGCTTCACTCTGTCTACTGACATCTCCAGCCTCTTCAACAAGGGAGAGTAGTCCCTGTCGGCCTGGCCCCGCTGCCACAGGGTTTGTGGGATCTGGCCCGTAGCACAGCCAAACTGGCTAACAGCAAAGATCTGGAGCACGGCCAGTGCCCGCCGCATCAGGTGCAGTCCCGTCTCTCGAACTCGCTTTACATCTTCGGCTTTTACTATTTAGAACACACAATGACTCATTAGTGAGAGTAGAGGCACAGAGGTGCATTCAGAAAGTCACAACTGAGACTTTCTGAGCTACAGCACGAGTCTCACATGCACCCAACAACTACCTAGGATGTAGCTGTACTTGCATCCTTTGGGTTAATAACAGCTGTATGAGATATAATCCCCATGCCATCAATTCACCCATGCAGAGTATACAAGTCAGGGGGTTTTAGTGTATTCATGAGTTGTGCAACTATCACCCCCTAAAATACCCTCTACTGCTAGCAGTTCCCATGCTCCACTGCTCCCCAGTACCCCCAGCCCTGGGTCACTGCTACTTTCTCTTCTAGAAGCTGTACTCACATTTGCTGTTCCCTGGAGGCAGTCTGCTGCTGCCAGTTCTGGTGGAGCCATTGCCCGTCTGCCCGCTGGCTTTGCATTCACAGTGTGCACTCTCTGTCTGCAATGGGCTTCCCACTTCATCTGGAATCAGAAGTTTCAAAGAGAAGATGCTTATTCAACTCCTTTCTGGCAAATATTTCAAGGAAAAATAATATTTACTAGGGCTTACCACCCAAAAAGACTTTACAAATTGTACCTCAGTTGTGCAGACTAGTGACTAGTATAAGCAGTTGGTTCAATATTTACTGAATGAATGAAGCATGAGTCATCATTTTGTGGATGAAGAGAGTGGGACTGCAGAGGTTAGTAACCAGGCCAAGGACACAAAGCCAGCAAAAGGCAGAGCTAGGGTTTTAAGCTCTCTGCCTTTAAAATCCATGTTCTTTCCACACTACCCTGCTGATTCCCTTACTGAGCCTTAAACAAACAGCATATCAAGACCTGGCACCTTTAGGTAGCACTCTCAGAATGCACCTAATCAATATGACCTCTGCCCACCCTTTTTCCCCATCCCCTCCTCTGACCTTGGATGAAGTTGATGAACATCTCGAGGTCTCGGATCTGAGTTTTCAGCTGCTCCACCAACTGTTCTTTCACTCGGGCAGGGTTGACAATCTGAGCCACAGCTGCATCCACACGCTGCCGCAGCTCTTCAGTAGACAGTGAACTGAGGTCCTCGTTCAGGTTCATGTCCAATTTCTTTATTAACTCATCTATGATCACCTAGCAAGACCACAAGTAATGAGCACACCCTCTGGAATTTTCTTTTCTTTTTTAAAAAAAGATTTATTTATGCATACAGGAACTAGCGTATAGGCTGGAGAGCAGTGGGTGAGAGGATTCACCAGAGACAAAGTGGGGAGCAGAACAGGCAGATCGACAAAATACACTGCTGAGGGGAGCAGCAGGGGGGACAGGAGAGGTCTGCTGTGGTCAGCTCCCTGGCTGGGAATCGAACTCATGCTGCAGTAGCTGCGGATAGCTTCATAGTGCTGAGACTTAACCCCTAATGCCACCTGGGAGGCTCAACCCTCTGGAATTTTCAATGAGAGGGTTGGGAAGGAGAAACTTAACTAGTGTACTTTCTACCTTGAAATTAAAGACACAAGGAACTGCTGAAATTGTCAGAGAAATAAAACTGCTGACCAAACTGAGGGCAACAACCCTTTACTTCTCTTAGAGTGACAAGAACCCTTCTTGGGTTCTTGTCAGACAGAATAGTTCCTCTCACTGCAAAGTTTCTACTAGGTCAGGCAGCTATATCTCAGAACAACAACAATGTGAACAATGCAAAGAAACTGACTATCCAGAAAGCTTCATATTTGGCTTTCCCCAAGGCCTCCAAGAGAATTTGGATTTATCTTCATTTCTAGTCTTTCTCATCCCTTCTCGCCTTGCGGCAACTAAACAAAAATCTCTATGAAACATCAAGGTACATTACAGACAAAATACCCCAATCGCATTATAGGAACAACCTGAAATCCAAATAATGTAACTCTAGCCTATCAAAAAATAAAACAAAACAAAACAAAAAAACAGCAACACCACAGGGAGAGAAACATGTAGGGGAGACTGTAACTACATTTACACCACGGATTTGCCCGTCTACCCAGGTATGCGCAGGATACATACAGTTGTGCACCGTTAACGTCACATACAGCAGTGTTTTCCAGACTACAACATTTAGGTCTGTTGTAATTTACATTCTATGACATATACATTGATGAAATTGCCTGCATTTTTGATGCATCTCTCTCTTAAGTGACATGTGACAGTGTGACTGCATGAAAGTTAGTCCGGAGGCCTGGAATATTTATCAACTGCTGGTGGGTGGCAGAAAGAAGCTAATTTACATTGTAAGGTATGTCCAAGTAGAACTGTTTTGATGACCAAGTGAAGGAAATTATTATTATGCATTACTACTATTATGCTTATTAATAAACACCAAAAAGAAAGCACTTAATATAAAGCTTTGGAACTTGTGTTTCTATGTGTGAATAAAGACTGGTCCCATGATTTGGGCCAGCAAAAGGATTTTCAGCAAAGCCAAAGGCAAACAAGGTGAGAAATAACACCCTAAGGACACCGAAGTGGCAATATAACCTCAGCTAGAGGTGAAGGCACTTCAGATGTCTGCTCACCCGCTGTCTTTCCAAGACCACGGACTGCGGCAGGGAGTCGTAACTGCCTTCTTGATAGGCAAATGTTTCCAGATCATCTAGCTGAGTTTTGAGCTGCAGTATCAGTTCCTTCTGCTTCTCTCTTTGGGTTTCCAGACGTTCCCGTTTCTCTTGCTCACTCTAAGACAAGAAAATATTTAGATATATTTCACAGGAAAAGGAACATTCAGGGTGCATTAAGAACTTTCTCAAGCTAATGACAACTGGTAAAATAAAAATGTCTCCAGATAATCTAAATAAAATCTAGAATTCATAAGGCAGATCCAAAATAACTATCTCATCCAGGGCAATTTATTAAAGATGTTTTCTTTAAGACAGTATTTCTGTCCTCACTGGAAAAAGGATATAAACAGACTATGAATACAATGGGGTATTAATATGCCTTTTTTCCCTGAGAGGTTTAGTTAGGATTGAGGCAATTTATCTTAGCAGAGAGAGACTTTCAGGAACTAAGCATTCCAGCCTCCATAGGCAATTTCTACAGAAAATTCCCTGAATATTTTCTGCAGCCAAACTGTAAGAAAATCTGAGGGTGACAGTGGAGATAAAGGCTTTGTAACTTATAACAAGTTTTCTTAAGATACAGAAGCCCTTCTGGTGTGTTCCAGACTTGGCAAAATTTAAAGACTAACTGGAGGATGTCTGGAGTAGGGAGAAAGCAAGTAATGGAGGTGGGAAGGTAACAATATTTAAAGAAAGGTCTGATAAATTTCCCTGACCAGCGATTCCTTTTTCCACTGTTGGCCACCAGGTGGTTTCTCCACTTAAATTATTAAAATTCGTTCCAGGTAATTAAGTCCTGACATTGTATTTTGAAACACTGGTTCTTCCTTGCTGGGGCCAGCAGGCCACCTGCAGTGTCAGGTTTCACTCTAAACTAGAAATCTATAGAGTATTAAATTTAAGCATAAAACTGTACTTACCAAGCCCTTCAGAAGCAAGGTATGAGGGAGAACAAATGAAAAAACAACAAATTAACTTTTGTTCAAGCTATTTAAAAAGCAATTCTATTGTTTTACCTTTGCTCAACATGAAAGCAAGTCAATCCTTCCTCAGTGTTTTGGCTTTTTTTTTTGTTGTTAGAATCTTAGCCCTCTACACTTAGTGAAAGCCTAATTATCCAAGAAGCAAAGGTTTATCAAGGAGACCTTATCATTTCCTCCTCTGTATTTTATACATACTTTCACTCTAATTTATGTCACATTATAAATATTTGTGTAGGATTCTGTCTTCCCCAATTTAGTAAACCCTGAGGCTAAGGGCCTTGATACTGTAGCCCAATGTCTCAGACAATGCCTGGCAATGGGCAAGTTCTCACCATACATGTTATATGTCACTGAATAAATCAGTTAAGAAAACACTTTCTAGATAATGAACCTTGATTAGAGGAAGTTGTCTAACCAGTCCAAGGGAAAGAACTATGGAAAATTTCGATGTTTTTTTTCCCCACTGTATCCCAACTTTACGAAGTCAAGAAGGAAAGAAACAGGAAACATTTCAGATTAAAATAAATGAGTCAATATCTACTACTGATTAAGTCTTCGTGGTTAAAACAAATCTAAGTGGGAAGACAGCCACGTGTGATTTGTAACTTGAAGAACTGCCCTGTCAGAGACTAAAAAACTGTAAGGAAACTTTCCCTTCATACGATGTATCAGTCTTCATTATGTACCACTGTAGGCTAACTGATGGATCTATCTTATCACCGTTACCAGAGGGACCACATTGAGAATATCTAGCTATTAAACAGGGTGGGAAAGGAGTAAAATGCCAACATTGGGAAGTTCATGTAATCACAAGTTGTGTTTCTTTCAACCACTAAGGGGTCCCACTGTTGACCAAAGTTCTCACCCAACTAAAGATTAAACACTTTCGTTTGAGTCCAGAAAAGCACTGACAGGATCGAAGCTAAATTTTTAGGGTTTCCATAGCAATTTTTTCAGACATCTGGTTAGTAGTGAGACAATTTACTTATCGACTTCCCCAACCCTAGGGTCGGGGACTCTAGCAGAGGTGTTCGGGGCTTGGGCACATTAGGAGGTGACCGCAAGGTGAGCAGGGCTGCACTGCTCATTGCTCAGCAGCCCTCTCCAAACGCCTTTTGCTGATTTCTCCGTGCTCCTCACATTATCACACTTTATATCTCTTTCCACACCCCTCACCCTCAGCCACCCGATCCGCACATCCTCGAACCCCGGCCCCGGCTGCTCACCTGGTCGGCGCCGCGCAACCGCCGGCAGTCCCCCAGTAGCTCGTCGCCCTCGTCGCCCGCGGAGTCCCCGGGTCCTCCGTAGCCCAGGACGTGCGGGCAGCCTCGGAAGGCGAAGTCTTCGAGCTCGCGCAGGAGGCGCTGCTGTTCGGCCGGTGCCCCGCGCACCACCTGGCGCAGGCGGAACTGCACCTGCGCGAAGTGCGATGACAGCGCCAGCAGCGCCGAGTCCAGGCGCCGTCTTTCAGCTCGCAGCCGCCGCACCGTCCGATCCGGCGAGTCCGGCGGGGAGCCCGGGGCCGCGCCGGCCTCCTCGACTGCTGCCTCTTCCGAGAAGGCCGCCGCCCCAGGCCCGGCTTCCGCCACCGCCCCCACGGGGGCCCAGCGCACCGCCTCGCACGGTGGCAGCGACTCCTCTTCTTCTTCCTCGTCTTCCTTCGCCTTTGGCACAACCGCCGCCGTTACCGGCTCCGCAGCTGCCTCGACTGCCGCCATCTTCCCGGAAGCGCCGCCGCACGTCAGCCGCGCCCCCTTGCTACCATGGCAACGGCGCGCCGCCCGGGAGGTCGGGTGGGCGGGGCTAGACGTCACCTGGGGCGGGGCTTCCCCGGGGATTTAATTCGGACCCACACGGTTTTATTGAGCGATTATTGCGAATCAGGCACTGAGTGTACTTTAGTTGGGGAAACATGTGATGAAGCCGGGACAAGCCATCCCACGTTTCTGCGTCTAGGGTAGCCTGTCCAGATCCCGACGGGCCGGTGGTCTCCTGGGTACGTTTCCGTAGAGAGCCGAAGGGCTTCAGGGATTATGCTCTCCCAGTTTCTCCTGAGAGCGGACACCTTGGCTGTAAGAACACGTTCCCCTTTCCTCTTTACCCTTCCCCCTACCATATAAGGAGCGGCAGCTGCTGGGGGCCCTCCCCAGAATCTAAAGATAGCGGCCCTCTGGCTCCAAACGCCTCGGGCAGCGGGAGCCGCCATGGCACGGTAAGTCTTTCCAGACGTCCTTTTCCCCGGAGATTCCCTGTTCCACGTGTCCAGGTCACTCCAGGACCTGCGAGGGCCATGGGCAGCTCAGGTCTCTAGCTTTGGGATGGCGAGGGGGAGTGTGCCTGAATGGCCCTAACTTCCTAGGGGCCTCTTTAGGCTCTTGATTCTCCCTGTGTTCAACCTCATTACACACACCCCGCCCCCCACTCCCTTTCACCCCCTCTGTGTCTTTTAGCTCCACTTTGGCAGGGCTGTAGCATAAAACATCCCTGTATTTCCCCTCCTTCCACCTTCCCTAAATGCCCTCAGTCTTGCCTCTGCCGCCCCTATGAAGTCCCACCGCAACTCCTCTCCAGGCAGCATGCCCGGACCCTCTGGTACGACAGGCCCAAGTATGTGTTCATGGAATTTTGTGTCGAGGACAGCACCGATGTCCATGTGCTCATCGAAGACCATCGCATTGTATTCAGGTAAGGGCCCTCCCATCTGTTGAGTTTGGCTTCCCAGAGATCCTTTCTTTCTCCCAATGCCCCCAACACTCAGCTTCCGGAGTCTCCTCTGCGCTTTATCTCCTCAGCTGCAAGAATGCCGATGGTGTGGAGATGTACAATGAGATCGAGTTCTATGCCAAGGTGAACTGCAAGGTAAGAATGAGGTGGGAGAGTAAGGCATGGATGGAGAGTTGGGCCCAGGGAGATAAGACTCCCTCTAAACCTCAGGCCCTGTGCATGAGGCTCTTTATTTGACAGGACTCCCAGGATAAGCGCTCTTGCCGCTCCATTACTTGCTTTGTGAGGAAATGGAAGGAAAAGGTGGCCTGGCCCCGGCTCACCAAAGAGGATAACAAGGTGGGAAACTTTCTCTTGTTCTTTATCTAAATACCCAGGTCTCAATGGAAGTCTGAGAATCATCCTTGCCACTTTTCCCACCAACACACCATCATTCCCCATGTCCTGCCTATTTCACTCACTTTTCTTAAACCTATTACTTCATCTCTTCCTAATTCTGACCACATCTGCCCCTGAGTGAGATTCGGTGTATATTTTCAGCCCCACTGCCTGTCCACCATCTGTATTGCTCTCGGCATATTCTGTCTAAAACACAGACTTGACCCTTTCACTTTCCCACCTGTGACCCTCCCATGGCTTCTTTCCTTCTAAGGTTGAGCCCTGATGTCTCCTGGCTGGCTTTGGCTCTCACATTTGTTTCAACAATCCTCCTAATGTTAAAAATTATTTTGACTGCTTACTGACACTTAATTTTTTGATTAGTTGCTGACGTATTAAAAATGTAGGGATGCTACTAAAAATAAAATCCAGAATATCAGCTACTCTCGGAATATGGAGGTTCTGCCCACATTGATTTAACACTGGACCTATAAATGGGGCACATGCTCCACCTCACTTTAATCCTTTTCATTATCACTTTCACTCTTTGGTTTTGATAGCTGAATTTTATTTGCTTTTATTTTGTCCCTTATTTTTATTGAGGTATAGTCGACATAAACATTAATTTCAGGTATATGGCCACCCAAACACCACATGAAGTCCAGTTAACATCTGTCACCAGACACAGTTAAAAACTTCTTTTCCTGTGATGAGAAATTTTTTTTTTAAAGATTTATTTATTTGTGCATACAGACTGGGGTACAGGCCAGAGGCTGAGCGGTGGTGAGAGGCTTCACCAGAGGCTTCACCAGAGACAGAATAGGCAGATCTATGAAGTACACTGCTGAGGGGAGCAGTGGGCGGGCCAGGAGAGTCTGCCACGCCATGTGGTCATCTCCCGGGCAGGCGGGAATCGAACTCATGCGGAAGTGGCTTTAGATTCTCAGTGCTGTGCTTTAACCCGCTGCGCCACCAGGGAGGGCCTGTGATGAGAACTTTTAAGATCAGTTGATTCTCTTAGCAACTTTCTCTCTGGATTTTAGACATTTGAGTGTAACTTGGTTGACTCTTATGCTTTATGACAGAGTTATCTTTCTAGTTGTGAGTCTGTTTTGTAATCTTCTGGAGGGCAGAATTCTATGCTTTTGCATCCCTTACAATAACGTTGTGCTTAGCACTTTGTAGGTTGCTGGTAAGTCTTTGCGGATTATCGACATGACATGCTAGCCCCCAGGGTGCTGTTGGGAAGAGTGGACCGGTTGGCCTTCTTCCCCAGGCACGGGCCTCTGCACACACCCACACTTCTGTGTGCCTCTGCCGCTGCCCTCCTGGCCCCTGACTCTGTGCTTCTCTTGCAGCCAGTGTGGCTCTCTGTGGACTTTGATAACTGGAGAGACTGGGAAGGAGATGAAGAGGTGGAGCTTGCTCAGGTGGAACATTATGCAGAGGTAATGCCATTTTCTACCCATAAAGATCATTCTCTGTGTCTTTCTTTTTTTTTTTTAAATAGGAATGAGAAAAATGGACATTTTGTTATTGAAATTATATACATAAATTCACTCATGTTCAGAGTTGAGCCTGTATTTGAAAAAAACTGGGAAAGACTTTTCCTACTTTTTTGTAATTCTTCTTTCCTGTGTGTGTGTTTGTGTGTGCATGCGTGTACAAGTATGGGCATATGTGTGTGCTTCAACCACACATATTTATAGGAAGCTCAAACTAAGCAGTATAAAAATTTGCATCATAAAATAAGTCAAGGGCCTCCCTGGTGGTTAAAGACACAGCACTAGCAGGCTGTCACCCAGCTGGGGAGCTAACCATCATGGCATAGCAGACCTCTCTCGTCTTGCCCGCTGCTCCCCTCAGCAGTGTATTTCAGTTGATCTGCCTGTTCTGCTCCCTACTCTTGTCAGTGGTGAATCCTCTCACTGCCCACTCCTCTGTCCTACACCCAAGTTCTTGTAGGCATAAATAAATAAACCTTTTTAAAAAATAAATCACTGAATCTCAATAAATTGTATACAGTTATACATTATTTGGTTCCAGACATTATTTCAGTAACTGTTTATTCAAATGGCAAAAACACTAACAGACCTCAACTTGGATAGTAAGGAGGGTGTTCTGTGTGTATGTTTAAATTCCTTTTAAAAGGGGATCAGGGCCTCCCTGGTGGTGCAGGGGTTAAAGTCAGCACTGTGAGGCAGTCAGCAGCTACTGAAGCACGGGTTTGATACCTGGCTAGAGAGCTGACCCACATGGCGCAGCAGACCTCTCCTGTCTCACCTCTGCTCCTCTCAGCAGTGTATTTCAGTAGACCTGCTTTTTCTGCTCCCCATTCTGTTTCTGGTAAGTCCTCTCACCACCCCGCAATTTTGACTTGCATAAATAAATATTTCAAAAAATAAAAAAGGGGATCAATTTGCTTTTCTCCAGTACTGTTCAGTGATGTATTAGAGACTTAAAGATGGGGCATTTGTCTGGCTGGGATATTCTCCTGTGGTCCATCAATATGCTGGTTGCTTCTTCCCTTGTAATTATTTTCCTTTTCCCACCAGCTGTTGAAGAAAGTCAGCACCAAGAAACCTCCCCCTGCCATGGATGACCTGGATGTAAGTAAAGCCACCTGTGAACACTTCAGTTTTCTTTTGGCCTTAGAAATAGGTGCCAGAAGGCTCCTGTCCCAAAGCCTAGCACGCAGTAATTCTCGCGCATGTATGCCCAGCCTCACGTTAACAGAGCAGGAATGTTTCGCTGTGCTTTAGGAAACCCCAGCAAGATCCTCATCATGTCCCCATTACTTCTCCATCCTAGAGCAGACTCTATTGAGTAGTTTTATAGTTGTAAGAAGCAGTAGCATTAATTTAAATTCTGAAACTAAAGGGTATATGTGGCAGTGCTGTTTATTGAATATCAGGGCTTTCTTTGATTATCCAAAGTTGAAATCCTTCAGTATCAGCCTTCCAAGGAATTGTGTGATAGAGGAAATCCCAAAATAAAGCTTAGAGAGCAGAAGGGAATGAGCAGTATTTGTGAACACTATTTGCACTATTCACTATTGTGAATACTATTTGCAGACTGTTATCTTTTTTCTCCTCCTAGGATGATTCTGACAGTGCTGAAGCAACAAGTACTTAATATTCAGTGACAGCAGAGATGGGCAGGAAGCTGTGGCTGTGTTCCAGTTACCGTGAAAAGCTACGGCTGGGTCTTTGCCAGCTCTTTAGCTGTGCACCAGCGTCCTCTGAACTTTCCTAGAAGCTCTTGATTCAGGGTCCTCCTTCATGATTTGTTTCTTCTTTCTAGACACTTGACTTTGTCTGCTGCATCAGATGACAGCATAGGAGAGGAGTCGACTAGTGGGTGCTGACTTCCTACCAACTGGCTGTAATCTTTGTGTTTGAGCCCCTCAGTATTTAAGCATGTGTGTGGAACTGATAGAGCAAAAGCCAAAGAAGCAGTCTTTAGATTATAATAAATCTCCAGGAACTGTTCTGTCTCTTTCTTTCTTGTACATCTTCCTGGAGGCAAGTTTCTTCTTTCTCTAGCATTCCTTTGAAGGGAGAGGACTGAGTAGTTATCAGAGATCTTGGTCCTCATTGTCGAGGCTGGAAGAAGACAAGTGTTGGGATTAGGCTTTGTAACCATGGTGGGTGACTTCCCTAAATTCATGCTCCTATTTCTCAGAGCAGAAACTCAACCTTCACTACATGGCTAATTAATAACTGCATCTTTATAACCACTAGAAACCTACCTCAGCTTCCTGCACACTCCAGAAATCTCTATGCACTTTAAAAGCTAATTGTTGCATAGCTTAGTGCTTATGTCTGTTTACTCTTCCATCCATCAGCTATTCCTTTCCTCCACATACATTGTTTAAGTGCCCAATGTGTATGAGACTATGACTTAAACAAAATGCAATACTTGAAGTTTGCTTTTAAACTCATGATAAAGCTTTTAAATTTGTTGAAAAATTAAACTTTGAAATTTATGTAAGTTTGGGCCTCCCTGGTGGCACAAGGGAGCCTCAGCCACTGTAGCACAAGTTCGATCCCCAGCCAGGGAGCTAACTACATGGCGCAGCAGACCTCTCCTAGCTCTCCTGCTGCTCCCCTTAGCAGTGTGTTTCAGTCAATCAGCCTCTTCTGCTCCTCATTCTTTCTGATGAATCTTCTTATCCCCCTGCACCTCTGGCCTTTACCCCAGTTCTTGGATGCATAAATAAATCTTTTTTAAAAATTATGTAAGTTTATATGTGGACATAGTTTAAAATAATTAAAACAGCATAGAAAGGCAAACAATAAAAATTTTATCCCTTCCCACATAGGGATAACTAATGTTAACTGTTTCTTTAAAAATATTATATAACTACATCAATATCTGTATACACATTATATATATTATAACTTTCATAGTACCTGTTATATAGCTTTAATTTGTATACTTATATATGCCATTATATAATTATGTAAAATATACAACTATACATATGGCATAGAAACATAGTATAGATATTAACATTGAACACATAAGAAAATGCAGTGTCTATGTGTTTGCTGTACATCTTACACCCTGCTAGTTTTCACTTAATATTTTGTTGGAGATCTTTCCAAATCAATATAAACAGATCTAGCTTTTGCATTGTTTCATGATATTTCATTGAATACATTTTCCATAATTTAACTGTTTCCTTATTGAGGAACATTTAGGTTGTTTTTAGTCTTTTTCAATTTTCAAGCAGTGCTACAACGAGCATTTGAAGATGTAGATCTTTATATAGAAGTCAAGAACATTAAATTTCTAGGAGTGGAATTGCTAGATAGTTGTATTTAAACACTTTGATAGCTTTGCTAAATTGCTCTTAGATACAGTTGTACCAGTTCTCACTCCCACCAACAATGAGCATGCTCCATTCTCTGAAACTTTTAAGATATTTGCCCAGATAAAAAGAGTGCTGCTCTGTTTATTTTTATTAGTGATTCATTTTAATACACCATCTTTCCCCATTTTGACAATGACATTAGCCCTTTAAGAAAACTGGATAATACAAAGCTATATATTTGTTTCATGGTTTAGTTTACTATTTGCATATTACTTCATTTAAAATGTTTGAACCTGATGTCACCCTGATAAAGTAAGCAGGTCTTGTCTTCATCGTTTATCAAATAGGTCACACAATAAGTGGAGGGGCTGGGACTTGAATTTGTATAACCTATGTCCCCTTAGCCTCAATTCTGAAAAGTGAAATTCTGAAAACTGCGTTAAAACATATTGATATCAAATCTCCCTTGGCAGCAAAACCTAGTCTAACATTGCGTGAGACTATTTATAGTTTTCCTTCATTCCACTCAATATATTTATTTTTCATCATAACTATAAATACCTCTGTTAACAAGAGATCCAGGTGGAGCATGTTACACAACACAGGGCATATATACTCTGCATTCCTGCGGAAAACCTGAAAAAGTCTATTGGCATCTTCATGCTTTTTATTGTTGTCTTAAAAGAGCTGATGGTTAATTTAACTTTTTAAAACTTTTTTTTTTTAATTTAACTTTTAATCCGTTTAACGTTATAGGGCACTGATTGCACCCTTTATCTACACTGGCCACCTGTGGTTACTGAGTACTTGAAACGCGGCCAGTACCAACAGAGATGTAAAATACACATCAGGTTTTGTAAATACTGTACGGCAGAGGGAAGAATATATTTAACTTATTTTCAAATGCCTACTGCATGATAAAATAATATTCTGGGTATGTTGGTTTTAATACGCCACTAATGTGTGGCTTGCACTACCTGTCCAATGGGGAGCGCTGCTGTGAATCGAGTCAGTCCCATCCGCACCTCTAGCCAGCCAGAGTCCGCGGGGCTGGATCACGTCCACCCAGAAGCCCCTCCGGGCTACACTAAGTGCCTCAACGCGCCCAGGCTTTATTTTCTTTGAATTCTAGTCCCTTTCAAAGTCCATAATAGTGGCTTAAAAGCCCGAACGCCGGCAGCTCGCGTTTTCAATAAATTTGTCCAAACCCACACCCCATTCCTTGCCCTCCTGCTTCTGCGCAAAGGCGCGCGCGCGCCCAGGATTGTCCCGCGCCGCTCGCCGTCCGCCGCTCGCCGTCCGCCCCCGGCGTCTCTGCGCGGAGCGGGG